AATAAGCTATTGATTAATAAAATAAATAAATAAAATTTCCATGTAAAATCACTTATTCTATGTACTGCATCTGAAACATAGGTCAAAAAGATCAATGAAATATAAAAATTTATGTTTCATTTAAATGAAACTTGATTGCAATATAGAATCTAACCTCTTCGTGTCATTAAAAATTAGAAAAGACACAAATCGTAAAAACAAATTCATTATCAACCACGCAGCCTTTTTCGATAAATTAAATCTTCTTTCTTCTCGGTTGTATTGTCAATTATGTATCTCTATGATCGGCTAATCTCCCAGTTTGTTCCAATGATCGCAGAACATATACACATATCGGGAAAAGTGCATCGATGTCAAACGTGACACTGAGCAAATAAGGTTAACAAGGTACATACAACGATGCAGATGGGCCGACATTCGTTCGAAAGTAGCCGAATTGTTTTCACGATGAAAGTCGATCGCGTATTCAGTATACATCTGACCACATATATACACACACAACCAATCTCACGCATAAATACGTATACGTATATTAGAAATGCAGCGAACGGCGTTCGTGACCATTTCGCAATAAATTTTCTACTACGTTAAATTGTAGCGCTTGCGCAATATGCCTCCCCTACCCGTGACACTCAACCAAATTTAAAGAAACCACGCGAACGGGGCACCCATGCGCAATCTTAACGCTACTAGATGATCAAAGGCAGGTTCCCACATTTTCGAGGAAATTTCGCTGTTCGTTGTTCGGCAAGTTTCAACGACCGTTTCGTTATCTTTTCCGCCAACACGACTATTCCTTTTATTGCTTCCTGCTAAAGAACGTTGACACGATAGTCGTGTTAATCGTCAAGTTGTCTTTCCTTTCTGTTTTATCGTTTTATCGTTTCCTCTTCTCTAATTGTATTTACTTGTACTTTCGATTACAAGAAAAACACAAGATTGCATTATTATACTATTCGATAGTAACTGTTTTACATTTGTCATTTACATATAATTATAGGTTATACACTGTTACGTCTCATACGCAATACGTTATCCCGCGTACCGTGTATATGTGTGTGTAGATAAATAGTTATACACACATACGCATATATAATGCTGTACATATGCACTGTGTATATATATGTACATGTAACTTAATTCAATACACATATATACGTACGTACATACACATGCATATGTATAAATACATACTCACATACATACATTACATATCTACTAAAAGTACATTTGCAACATATACTCATAATTTTTAATTAAAATAAAGTCTAAAACCAAATTTTTTTGGTATAACATTCGATATTATATTTGCGAATAACGTAAATTAGTCTAAATTTGAGTTAGATTGCATAATTTAGGAATACTTAGTTTTAATATACGTTCTATATTATGGGTCGTTAATTTTCTTTATCTCGTAAAATATAAAATAAAAAATAATTATATAATATACATAATAACATGATATGTAGAATCTAAATTAAAAAATCAATCTGGAAATATGTTAATTAAATAGAGAAAAAATGAAAATATTGTGGGACAACAAAAAGTGATCACTAACCTCAACAGAATTTCACTATAAAACAAGAAAGCATTTTCACTCTCACAAAAGTTATTTGTCGTGACTTACTTTCATTTGAATACAATATTCAAGTATGTAGTACATTATAAGTCGACATATACATATATATTTCTCTGCTTGTTCTCCATTGCCTGACATATGTACATACATACATGTTCCATTTATTATTGCAGTACAACTACTTTACTTATTTATATGTAATACAGTTAACTCGTAAACTAGTCTTATAAAAAATATAAAAGTATGGTTTACACCAAAAATATTTATCTAAAAACATATAATTAATAAATGTTCTTATTCTCTCTGATAAAAATTATAAATCTTTAAAATTGTAAATTCTTTTTAATACCACCTATATACAAGTCATTAAACAACATTAAATAATATGCCTTAATGTCTAATAAAAATACATGTAGAATATTGTAGGAAAAATACATTATCAAAAAAAAAGGAGAAAGTTACTATTTTGATAATATGAATTCAACAAATGCACGTAACGAAAATAGTCAAAATGACAATCGTCATATAATAAATACAATAAAAATATCATTACTAATTTATAAAAATGAATATATAAACTTTCTCCTTAAATTTAATTAGAATTTCTTGCAACACCTTATGAATCATATACGAACAAAAAATTATTGAAATGCAAATAATTTTATATAATTAACTATACAAAAGTCCACATTTTTCTCTGTATATATATCCATAATTATTCAATTAAACATTAATTCAAACACGTTTTAAATAAAATAATAAGTCATTAAATTATATAAAACAGTACCATATAATTTTATGTCAAAGAAACATTTCTGTAAACTTATTTATAAACTCGAGCAATATCAAGTAACGAGATGAAATATAAAAACAAATAGAAAGTGTACAATTGTTTGTTTTGTATGATAATTTTTTGACCGAAGTACATTGTTAATTTAATTTAACGACACCCATTCATTTATTTTAATTACCATGGGAGTTTTGTCGAAAAACTTTCGCGAAATCTATGAAAGTTGCTATCGAATATGTTATTTAATCAGTTTCGTAATCGACCAATAAGCAAATAATTATACGTGCTTTAAGATACAATGCCGCGAATTCTCCCGCGCATAGAAGAAAAAAACAGAGCGAGGAAACTCGAAAGGGGAAAGCCGTGAGCCGAGAGTAAAAGTAAAAGGCGCTACTTATTTTTTTCAGATCTAGTCACTATAAATAATTAGTGTGACACCGTAATTACGCTTCCTTTGTTCGCACCAATTTCATTCACTCCCCCCTTCTCTCCCAAAAAAATATTTCTTCCACGAGGTTGATATCGATATTTGAAAATAGACGAATTACTTGATTCACGAACAGGTTATATCGTAACTCATGGTAGAACTTTGATTCGATGCTTCGATGTTATCCGATCGTGACTAACTTCATTCGTTTTCAGTACTGAATTTATTTCCATTTATAGCGAGACGTGTGCGTATTTTATTTCCTGCTGTGTGCAAAAATTAATTCAAAACGACCAATTAATTCGGAACGAGATTAATTTTAATATATTCAAAAAAGGTAAATCAAGTTCTTGCATGTTATTAAGTAAGAATCTAATACGTTTGATCATTCTGATTTAATAGCAGTCAGTTGATATAAAAGGTTATGTACATACTTTGCATCGAGATAAATAATTTTACCGTTTTGCCTTACCTAATATTTAATCGAGCAATTGCATTACTTAAATTCATTTAGAATTTCGAGTTAATACTTAAAATTTAAATTCATTCAATGCATAAGATAAACAACAATTCGATCAACAATATCGGGCAAAATGAAAATTAACGTTTAATTAATAAAGGGATTATTATTTTGTATGAAGGAACTAGTATTTTTTAATAAATAAAGAGTTCATCATTAATAAAAGAAAATTTATTCACACGTCACTTTAACATTTCAATACAGATTTTGTATAATATTTTAATTTAAAAATCATTTTATTAAAACAATAGCTAAACATTACTAATTTTTGTTTAAATATAATTCTTTTGAGAATATAAAATTTTTTTAGAAAGACTTTCTTCGTCGTATAATCGTTATTATTATTATTATTATTATTATTTTGTTATTATTATTATTATAAGTTGTGTAAAAAAAGGAATGAAAATAGTTGAAAAAAAAAACTTTACATAATTTGCGTGATTTGAAAAAATTAATTATTATATAATAAATACCTTATTGCTAAAAAAAAGAACGATATCGAGATATTTATTAATCATATTTTTCATTTCATATTAATATTTAATATTTACGAATATCTTAATTAAACGTAAATATAAAAATCATACAATTTTCAAATTAATTTAATCGCAAATTGAAAATAAATTTCATTTTTAATTATTTTGCACAAAAGAAAAAATTTCATTTGTATAATTAATAATATTATTTCGAGAAAAAAAATTAAATGTCAAAATGAAAAATCGTCAAAATCAAAATTCATGTTAAAATTAAATTTTATGTATATACATAATATGTATATTAAATATATTTTTTATATAATTTAATGTGAAATATATTAAGTATAAATGTTAACAAATGTTAAAGAAAGAAAATTGATAATCCGTGTAAACATTATTGAGTTGAATTTTAATCTAAATACAAGTGCGAAAGTACTATAATTTCGAAAGTAATGTTTAATGTAATTAAAACAGATTTAAAACGATTTCAGTGTTTTTCTAGTATTTATGTGAAAGGAAAAGGTATTTGAATGTTCACAGCTCATAATGAGTAACTTTTACCTTTAGTCAAGTCAATTAGGTTAATTATGATTTTTCGTAACAATTGATTTAACCCAAACAGGTTTAGTGTTAACTTAATGAAAGATAATTAATTAGTCCGACGCTAGATTAATATGCTGAAAGTTGAATTTACATTTTCGATTTGTTGTAAAACGAAATATTCATTTATCGAAAATGTAAAATGCAAACTGTTAAAAAACAAGGTTCAAAACTTTAAGATCTTACGGAAATCACTAAGAGAAGTAAAAAATGTTTGGTTAACATAGGTTAACCTACTCAGTCCTTTCAACAAAAAATCAATTTTTATTCCCTACGAATATTTAATTAAAGCGAATTCAATTTTATTACTCATATTACTGCTTTAAAGCATAATTCTACACACTAATTTGTACATAATATGCTGTACTATTTACAATACGTTACCAATCACGTTAGAAATCGCGCACTGAAAAAATAAAAATGGATATTAATGATCGATTTTTATCAAATATTTTCTATAAACATTAGTACTATGATCAGACTAAAATAATTAAGAAAATGATTACTAAACAGGATAGCTATGATATTTGGTAACTATTGATCCTATGATTTTCTAATTCTTCGATAATACTTTAATGAATCAATTATTTATTTAAAAATTCTTGCAGATCGCGCTACTATTAGTAGCTTCCACATCGACAGTATATTCGAAACCAGCACCGGAACCACCAGTGAACTCGTACTTCCCTCCGCCGAGTGGCCCTAGTCACTCAGGTGTATCCGGAAATTATGGCCCTCCAATACCAGACAGATATGGACCACCCCAACAACAGCCTGTCGTCCACAAACATGTTTACGTTCATGTGCCACCACCTGAAGCACCCGAATACAGTCCACCAAAATACATACCACCCGCAAGTCCGCCACAGAAACATTACAAGATTGTATTCATAAAAGCACCGACTCCACCGACACCGACAGCACCTGCGCTACCACCATTGCCACCTCAAGATGAAGAAAAAACTTTGATCTACGTATTGGTAAAGAAACCGGAAGAAGCACCAGATGTAGTGCTCCCGACTCAAGCACCAACGCAACCTAGTAAACCTGAAGTATACTTCATCAGATACAAGACACAGGTAAAGTACACGTGGTTTAAACACTTAAAGAAGAGTTACGCTAGTAAATATGAACTGCCTCGAGCGATCGAACATTGAATTAATGTGATTTTATAAACATAATTCTAAAAATGCGTAAATAAATTTAAAAAATCTAGTTAACATTGGTATTTAGCATTGTTTAGTAATATTTTATTGTTTTAATACAAATAAATCAAGGTTTATTTTTATAATGAAAATTAATAAAGTCATAAATTTACTAAATATCTAATTACATACCAAGAAATTCATATAAAGAAATTAATATAACTTAACTCTTCAAGTTTTTTTTCAAAATCGACTTGCATTCTTTTAAAACAATCTTTCTTTAAACCATTTATCATTAAATCAAATCATTTTATCTAACATTAGAAAAAAAACATATGACAAGCAAATAAATAATAATTAGAAATTAAATAAATAAAAGAGATAATTATTAAGAGTTAATAAAATTTATAGTTTTTATAAATACAATTTTTTATGTGTAAATATATAAAAGAAAAAAAATATTTTTAAGTATCATAATTTTCTTATATTATAGAAAGAATCACAGAGCACGGAATATGGACCTCCACATCAATCACCTCCTTCAGATAACTATGGTTCTCCACCATCAAATCCAGGTGGACCTTATTAAATAATCTTATTTACAAGTGGTTATCTATGAATCAAATACTAAAACACGTGACTGTTGTGAATTAGAAAGATAATGGACAGTGAATTTTGAAAAAATCAATTTGTAAGTAACATAGTTGCTACTACAGAATGTGGGTTTAAAGGGTAGATTTAGACCCTTTGTCTGTTTAATGTTATGAATGCACATATTGCATACTAAAGACATTTTTGAATATTGATATTACTGAATATAAATTAAGTAAGAAATATTATACATATTACATGTATTACTATTATATTACTTATTTTTGTTAACTGTTCAAAATTATCATAAGAAACTAAAAAATTAAACAATGGAAAATGTCTTTGGTGCACATACCAACATTGTTTAGAAGGAATATTTACAAAGGGTTACCAAGTGCAGAAAAACACTAAGTAGGGAAATTTCTGATTAATGTAAGTGGAAATAATTGTAACAGATGTGTATATTTTAATAAAATTATTTTTACTTTTGTATAAATTTTTATTTCTTCATTTTTTATTTAATTTTCCTTTAAAAACAATATAAATAAAAAATTTGTATCATCCAGTCATATAAATTTTCAGACTATCTTCTAAGAACAACATGTGCGGTATTCTATAATATTAGATTATAAAAAAAACTAGCTAGCATACAAAAATTTAGTTTAATATATGTATATTTGGAATAGAATACAAAATAGATAACAGACAATAATATAATTTACAATCTTGTGATTATAATTATGATATACATGTTTATTGAAAAATGATATTTAAGGGAAATATGTTTGTAAATAAGTTGGTTGTTCTAAAATTAACAACATAAAAAATATTCGATAAATTTTCTTGCATATCTATAGAGAAACAGAAAAAACCTATAGTTAATATTACAAATGTTGTTATAAAAACTGTTTGTTTCGAACAATGTATAAAAATATTTTACAGGTTCACAGAGATTCTTTTGAATAATTACAATTTTTTTAAAAATTACTTCAATATTTTACCCTTGTTCTTTACACAAGCATACTTACTTACCTAATTATGTTTCTTTATAGTACATTAAATTGAGTAATAAGTTCATATTTGTTTCAGAATGGTATTAAACATTATTATTTTTATATAAAATATAATTAATTAATGATATATATTGTTTTAACATCTTTACTGTATTTATTTAGGTCATTTATTTATTCTATTAATTTTTTTCTTTTTATGAAAGAATTTAGATATATGATTTTATATCATCTATATTTTTAAGTGATTTCTCATTAACAAATTATCATAAAATGTTAAAGAATTATTTAACATAAGATAATTTTCACTTAAATTTTGGCACTGTGATTGCTATAATAAAAAATGATATGAACAATATTTAGTAGCATTAAATATCTGATTATCTGGTAAAAACTGATCATTAAAGATGAATTTTTGTCTGTCATAGTTAATCACTTTCTTACTATTTTAGAAAGAATGATAAATCCATATAAATCTTTCTTAGTTACTATAAAGACTAAATATCTTATTGTTTTAATGTTCAATTATAAAAAATTGAATTGTATAAAGTATTAAAAATTTCAGTAATAACTGTATGTTATTGTTTGAACCTTTTTTCTATTGATGCAACTATTTTATTAACATTAATCTTTATTCACTGGCCATTTTGATATTTATCTTTCAAATGAAAATTAATACTTGTAAACTTTAATAAGTACACTCTTACCATACATATCACAAATTCTTTTCCTTATTCTTTCCATACATTTCGTTTTTAAAAATAGGATAATATTAAATATCAAAAATTAATATGACTTAAAGAACTAACTTGATGTGTTCATCTATTACATCTACTAATATCAGTAACCATTTGAAACATTCCATAAAATATATATTGTTGGAAGATGAACAAATTTGTACCTTTGAGAAAGTACCTTATATGTTATCAATATTTCAAATAACTTAATTATGGATTAAAATATTCTCTGAATCTAATAGACTAGAAATCAAATAGGAGCACCGAAAAAAGTTATTTGTAACATTGGTAAAATATGGTTTACATTTATATATTTCAACAATAATTACTATATGATACTAAATTTCAATTGTGAACCTTCTAATTGTAAGTAAACAAACTTATTACTGAAACTACTTACAACGATTAAAAAATATCACACTTCTTAGATAAAAAAAATAATTCGTCTTCAAATTTATTATTGGCTACTCCTATCCATTTGATGCCTTTTATACTGCACTATTTTTACACAATCTTCTACACAAGTTATATGTATCACCAATGGTCTATATTATCACTGATCACTTGTATTACATGTAATGAAGATATCAACGATTTAAATGGGAAGTTCAAGATACACAAAAAATGATATACATGGTACAACACATTAAGTACAATTACATTTTCCTATTTCCCATTAAACAACACTTAAGTAATACATGAACTTGCATATACATTTTTCGACATCTCTTGGTTATCAAAAAGTTACAAATACGTTAACAAGAATACAAAGGTATAAAATAATAGTAATACATATTCAATTATGTGTAATTCACAACATGTACAATTTTGATTATAGTTCAACCAAAGCTAAAAATTGATTTCAAAAATTTTTAAAGTACATTAACCATACTCAACAATACACTCTAAAATTTATTAAACTTCTGCTGGATATGACTAATTAAAATTTTTCTCTTTTATTTTTCAAAAGAAAATTATTTAAAAATTAAAAATCTTTTATTCTCTTCCTAGCCTCTTATTATTTATAAAAAAAAATTATTTTGTGTTACATTATTATAATCACATTCCAAAAATAGTTTATAAATATTTCTTGTACTTTAAAAAGTTATGCGTGATTCAATAATTAATATTCAATATTCAATGATTCAATTTTCAATGGCAAGCTATTTTTCACCATCTCATTGCTATAACATCTTTGCTTATCTTTGACCCATTAATAAGAAAATGTCTTTATAAATTTTGTTACATTAATGTTCAAGTTTTTCAGAACGTTTTTTACGAGAATATCTTTTGATTAATATAGAAATAAGAGGATAAAACAGATAAATTATATGACCGGAATAATAAACGGAAGAGTAAACCTGATGATAACGAGAATATGACAAAAAAATAAAACAGATAAGGCAGTAACCTATAAAACAAAAACTGTATATTTTCATGAAAGTCCACACAAGTACTCGAAGTTCAAGACGACTTTTAAGTATGCTGTGTAATTTCTGATGATTCTTCAATATTTCAGTTAACTGTAAGAATTAATACAGCATTTTATTCACTAGAATAATATTAAATTCGTAAATTAGTTTAATTTGATGATTAGTTTAAAAATAATTTAAGTATTTGAATAAGGACTTATTTAATATACCCTATTTCCAATTTTATAAATTATATCTCAGAAAAGAAACAAGAAATAATAAAGATTGAATAAAATAATTCATTACTATAATGACAATATAATAATGAATGCTAAAATTATAAAATTATTAAATAAGTCATTAAATATTTACTTATTTGATTATAATTTAAAGAAATGATAAATTGTTTTGTCACTATATATGAAATTAAAATTGACATTTAAACAAATCAGACTTACATCTCTCTCAGCATACATGATAATAAATTCGAGGAAGAAGCACATATAATATCCCGAATGAAAACCATGCCATATCGCGAGAAAAAGCAGCGTTAAAAACTGACTATACACTTTCGATCCCAAAAATTTCAGTCTCTTGTAAATATATTCCGCACACCAATTATTGGTGTTTATATTGAATGACATAATATAATCATTAAATCGAATTGCTGCTTCAAATTTTAGCAACTGGACATTTTCGCAACCATTCCAAAGAAGACGGCCTTTTTCATCTTTCCCATTATAAGTTAGTCCAAAAATTGTACAAACCTAAAATAAAAATAACTTTTTATGGTATTAATCAATTAATAAGGAGCAATTTGCTTATTTTCAAATTTTACGCATTTATTTTTTTAACAACAAATTAATGTACTTTGTTAAAAATTTCTTGAAATCTATAAGCCTAAAAATGTTTTCAATAAATGCTGATATAATTCGAAAAATACATTCCATAATATAAAAATCCGTATTACACGAGTACGGTTCCGGGTATATCTACAGTATATAATATTAATCGGTATAATCACTTAATTTTTTAATCTATATTCTTACTGGAACCTTTCTGCCGACTATTTGCAACAACGATGTATGTAATATAACATATCACTACACTATGAAACTATAAATTTATATCGTATTATGCTACCACAACTTTTGTGTTGTGTTTATAAACTGATTATACGATCATCTTACTGTATATATGCATACTATAAATATATATATGTATATGGTTTTCTTACCCCTTCAGCTAGTAACCAACAAGAAACATATTTGTAAAAATTAAAATGACCCCAAATGCCAATCAATAGAAGACGTTTCAAGAAAACCTGTTGTTCAAATTCTGTACTTAATAAATATTCATTGGGTATATATGAATTCCCTAATTGATAGAATACCAAATATATCAATCCAATAAATAATCGAGAAATGCCAGGAATGAGACAATCAGGATGAGGTTCAATTTCTTGTTTTACAGAATCCTAAAAATATGAAAAACAAATTAGTTTTCTTTTCAATTCATACCATATTTTATTGTATATATATTGTATCAATATATTAATTAAACAATTTTCTTATAATCTTTTCGTTGATTAATATTTTAATATGACTTACGTCCGTATCGCTCGTCATATGCCGCCCGTGTACATAGTCTAAATACCTTTTCATACTAAACTGTGGCCCGACAAGAAACGATCCTGGAAAATATGTAAATGCTGCAATTTCTAAAAACGTTGGTCGCTCTTTTAAGGCTAGACTTTTCTGTGATACAGACAATTGTTTCTGGAACAATAAATTTATTACTCAAATTTTTTTTTTTTTTAAGGAAATTTCTTTCGTGCTTTAACTCGTCTACTTATACATCAATAATTAGACATTTTCAATAGATATGAAGTATACTACCCGCTTCGTACGTACTTCAGGTTTTTGGCCGTCTAACAAGTTGAACGCGACACCAATTAACCGCAATGTTAATACACATTGAGGCATTGTCCATTTTATATCGTAATTATCGGTACTTGTTATATAATATCCTGTCAACAGTGAAAACGAGTGTTATTATTTATTATATAATTTTTTAATTTATTAAACTACGTTAATTATTTATTAAATAATTATGCATAGTTATAAATGTGGTTAAGTTATCCAATAGTTTCATTCCAAACTATTAATATGTACATTTATATTTGACGTTTATAGTAATTAAAACTAATGAGATTTCATGCATATTTATTATAATAATTCACACGATTTCTAAACACTTTGAGATAATATAACAGGCAAAAACGAAAAAGTTTTGTCAACAGGAAAAGTGCAACAGTATTTGTACAAGGCTTATTGCGTAATAATCCATACTGAGCATTATTAAGCAATAGAGTATATAGTATCTTTTTTATGTATTTTTACGATGCCTATATTCAATGTTCTCAAAATGTGCATTTTTACTAAAATTGTCAATTAATCGCACATTCCTCGAAAATCGTATGAATAATTATGCGATAATCAAATACGTAAGTGATAATATATTACTATTTCTTCATACCGCATGAAAGATAAGCCATGTTGAAGACGAAAATAATAAAAACTGACAGGGAAGTACCCCCGAGTCTTTTTAAGATGTGATAATTGATGTATACTGTTGCTGCTGAATGAATCACATTAAAACCTGTAAATATCGTTTATGATCGATTAATTTCCTGAAGAAATGATCGAAAATATTTTTTAATAAAAGGTATGCTTATTAAGCAATTAATTAACTTTATAAATTCTCTGAAACAAATTAATGGACAATTATTTTCACATCCATTAATACATTCAAATAATTCAATATCTTTTAATATCTTCTGAAACAAAATATTGTTTTCTCCAAAATTTAAACCTATTTTTTCAAAAAAATAAACATTTAACATAATTGCAATACAACAAAAAGTATAAGACAGAATAAAAAAATTTATTGAAAAAGTTGAAAAAAAGATATCTTTCAAATATTTTTAATTATTCAAATATTATTTTTCAAGAACAAATAATTACCATAATTCCATAAGCAAATCAAAACACCGCAGGACGCAAAAAATATATGTTGACAAATCGGACATTTCCCATACAAAGTATATCTGTGAAAGAGTGCAATGGGTGCTCCTGAAAGTTTTTACAATTGTATTACTCTTGAGCATTGTCGACGTATTTTAAAAAACATTGAATTTATTACGTACACTTTGTAAATAAAATTTTACTTTTATCAATTTCAGAATATTGGTAATAATAATTGTAATTTATTTCTTGAATAATTTTCTTCTTTTTTAACAAAATGGAAATATAAAAATTTGTTTTAAAATAATCAGTTTTACAGCAGCCACATACAAAAAAAATTTTTTGTGTGATTACGTATTATTTCAAGAACAAGAATAAAATAAAAAATACAAACAACTTGAAATTTGCGAACAATACTAACGATCGTAACATGTTAGTAAAATTTTTATTGTTTTAAGAATATTTCTTAGTACGTTTCTAAGTACATCAGGAACAAAAACAATAATGCATAATTAAAAATATAAATTCTGTCATTAAATTCAATTTTGTAAAATCTAATGAAACTTTTATAAAATCAATTGTATAAAGAAAAAGGAGGAATAGATACATGATAGATAACAGTATGAAATAGAATTATTAATCAATTAAATAATAAGTGCTTTATTCGTGTCATTACTAAAACACACAATTATATACGTCTAAATATATAATATGAGTAGTTACATCAAATAAACAGCTTAATATGTTTCTTTGTAGGAAAAATTAGAAATAAAATGTAATAAATAAAATTACGGATATGTTTTTACTTTCATACAAAATATAATCCACAACTATGAATTGAACAATTTAAATATATAAAAGATATGATTTCATATTTTAAACATGTATATATCATAGTTGTCAATTTTTGTTACTTGCGAGGGAACTGAATATCATGCACACGTGGAACTGTGCAATATATAACCTGAAATATTCTAAAAGTATAAAAATATTATTTCGAATTTTAACATTAAAGATCAAAATTTATAGAATTATAAATATACAAATTGAATGTAACAAATAAATAAATGTACAACTTAATTATATAAACAATAATGTAACGCAAATGAATTGAAGTTATAGGTTAGTGTATATTATTTGTCAATTTTAAGAAGGTAAGACAAAAACCATGAAGAAGTAAAGATATAATGTATTTTTAAAAACATTAGTTACCAAGTAGGATGGAGATAACAAGACGAAGTGCAACTTCAGATACATTTAAACTTTCCGAGACACTCAATAATATACTATTCGACATTGTTAATTTTTTTAAATGGTCTCCAATTTCGTTATTTTAATGTTATAAATTAATCTCATAATATCATTGAATTTTTTTCTATGAAAGATATTTCGATAAAAATTTAATTTACGTTCGACAGCGTTGTCACCTGTAGCTTCTTAGGTTATCAGAGATCAATGCAAAGTCATAGAAAGAATAGAAACATTGCATAATAATTCGAATGTGTTCTAAAAGTCGTTAAATTGAAGTAATGAAAAATCAAATTTTCCAAAAACATTGTAAAAAATGTACATATATATTAAAACAGATACTTTTGTTTTACATTGCAAAACTAATGACTCATTTTATCATAAAAAGAATTAAAACAAAGGAAAAGGACACTGCTATGTTTCAAAATAATTGAAGATAAATTTTACTTATTATAATCTTAATGTAATAATACATTTTTGCTCATCATATAATTTTGCGAGTAGAAGTTATTTAACAATAATTATCAATTGTACACATAAACACATGTCTCTTTATGATATCTGAAAATGATCTAGATCTGGCCTGGACATCTGATTGCTCGCGAGCCACACGCTATCCCTTCCCTTACCATTGTACTATTTCTTTCTACTTGTCTACCTTGCATCACTGTGTATGCATAGCTGCGACTTTCAGAATACATGTTTATGCATATAATCCGTAAGAAAAACATCGGTGTCGTGTAGAATGATGAAAAAAACGAGAAAGAGAGTACCGGCAGGCTAATGGCGGGAGTAACATAGTCACGGCGGGAAAGATGTTACCTAGGCCTAATCTAGATAATTTGTCAGATTATTTCAAATGATTCCAATTCTATACGATAATTATACAATAATCCAATATGATAAATTAGATTCAGTATACTTTAAATAATTATACTACAATATGTTACAGAATAAATATTTTTTTACTATATCATACATTAGGACTTTAATATTTTTTATTCAATAGTTTTTTATACAAATTTATAGCTGATAGATAGATAACAAAAAATGAAAGTAAACAAATTGAGGTTAAATAAAAATAAAGTTACCAGTTAAGATCATTTAAAATTGGAGTCTGAATTTAAATCTTCAAGATTGTTTAAATTTAAGATATAAAATATGTACGAATTTTATCCATATATTCGTAATAAGTTAATGAAAAAAATATGTTTCTTATTTGATAAGAATATAATCACGTTAGAATAAGATTTAAAGAGAAAATAAAAATAAAATTTCATCAGTATTTCCTGGTAATAAATAATTCTTTAATAATTTAACTCATGTCACACTATACATTGTTATAATCGCAATATAAAACATATCGTAGGATTCGCTGAGTGGCAGTTTCCAACAACAAACATACTCCGTCGAATCGACTTTTAGAATCAGAAAAATCGAAATTAACTAACCCTTCGCAATCTCGCTATGTAGAAATAACGCAAATATCGCATAATATTTGTAACGTTTGCACTATAGAACATCTTGAATTTGTACGGAGGTAACTGTAAATTAGTTTTAGATTATCGTCGAAAATTCATGAAATATTAAAATAAATGTAATCCATAATTAATACGAGAAATAACTGTTTTATATTAAATATTTCGTTCTGAAGAAGTGTACGAAGGGTAGATATATCGACAGTTTAAAAGGTCATCTCTAATATAGAGACAATGAACAAAAACTCCTATATTAACTTATACGGGGTGCCCCATTAAAAGGTGATTAATCGTACAGAAAAATGCAGCATCAAGGTTATAAGGAAAGGTTTTAAACGATGCAGTTCCTTCGAATAGCTTTATCTAAAGAGGCACAGTTTTAGGAACACCCTGTATAATACCTTCTATTAGAAAAATCGTGTTTACTTTGAAAAGGTCGCCGATTCTTGCTTAGAAAAATATATCGATCATGGTTTTGCATAACAATCGACATTTAAATCGTATTTCCTAATATTCGTACATGTACAAAGATTCCTTTTACACACACACCTGCACGCACACCAAAATACATTTAAAGAAACTCGCTAATGAACAAAAATTAAATTAATTTAGCGTTTGATTCTTTTGCAAAGTTTAACTCTTCGTTTCTTGGCATGAAAAAAGGATATTTTTTATACCCTAACTGTGGATACTATATTAGTAAATTGTAAATTTGGAAATTATGTTACTAATATTCTTTCTATCTACATCTTACATGTACAATATTACAATATGCGACACTACATGTAACATACAGATACGATATAACTTGCTAAATTTTTCTAAAAATTTGTATGCAGTCCTAATGAATAGGAACTTTGATAAAAAAAATTCAAGTGTATTATAAGAAATTACTGTGAATTCATTTTTGAGAACATATAATAATTAGTTTGAAGATCAATGATATAAGTTAATCCTTAAAAGTTGATTTAAAATGTTGGTACTATTGTTATTGAAAAACGAAGAGTCAAATCGACGCTTTAAAGTCTAATACTGCCTTACGATTTCTTCATTGAAGCCGATTTAATATCATTCTTAGTATTCCTAATCAGTTTTAGATTTGATACAATGATTTACAGCTTTCCCGAAGTTTAGATAATTTGCAAATGTTAAACGCTGTTAATCATTGTTCAAAAAATATCAGAACCGACCGAGTTCTATGGGAAATTAGAATATTTCTAACCATCAATTCATAGATGTCTAAAAGAATCTGTAATCTGCATTTTCAAAGCATTAAAAAACTATCATAGGAATAAGTTTTCAAATTATAACTTTGAATGTAACTTCATAATAAAAGTGCACAATTTAATTCATCTGTCTAATTATGTCTTTTTTAATGCTCAAAATGTTACTTATCAAACCTTACTTATCAAATGGAATTTCAGATCCATCAAGAACTTAAACACAAATAGTTGATAACTTATGAAGAGAAAAATTGTCAAAGGTTTTGACTGGTCCGAGCAAGGTATGTAAATGGTACCCTGTCTTCCGAGAAAATTTCAGATGAAAAGAAACTCGGTCGAATAATCAATCTTATAATATTATGCTTTACTGACTACGAACAAAATTATACACTTTCGTTTAACTTTCAAATTTATTGATTATTTCAACAATTAAATGTTACGTACCCTTTTAATAAAATGTCGGGAGCTACTTTCAATTGTTTATTTACGAAAGTGAAGGTTTTTGTATCTCACTAGTTAAACTTTATATCTCATATTTCACCACAAATTCTGATACAAATCGTTTTAAAATGTATAAAAATAATGGTATTTCGATGCTTCTCTGACTCCTGGAATTAACACGATAAAATTTTTTACAAATTAATTTACACCATAATCTAACAGTGAAATAAATATTTAAGTTAAGCCATCCATTAAATATTTTGATCCATTTCTTATTAAATAAAGAAAGTTGAGATGATGAGAAGAATTTTTATTGGAATACATTCAAATTTATGAATGCAAAAATATTCTATACTACGTATTTATGTTAAATCAATTTGCTAATTCATTTAATATATAAATTTTCAAATATTACAAAGTATTAAGAAAGGAAATCCAGAAATCAGAGCAATGCTATGCATCATTTTTCAAAGAGTGTATGGATATTCCGCTAGATAATTTCTAATTAACGGTGGCAAGTGTTTAGTGGGTAATTTGCTCCTATTAACAACTAATCTGGCCAAATGACTAAGAGACCTAACTTCTTTAACTAAAGGCTTTGTCAAATAAATTTCACTATAAAGTTGTCCACTATAATCTACCCAAACTTCTTTTCTATGTTCATCAACGCTTTTTGAATATTCCACATAATATTCTAGCATTTTAATTGGACAATCGAAAAGAGGAATCGCAAAAGCAAGTCTAGGTTCAGCATCTAATCGAAATTGTCCCACAAAATAGTGAACTCTAACAGAGGTAGGTCCTCTAGCAGTCTGTACAGACACAGCAAACATGTATCTGCTATCCGAACTATCTCTCATTAGCCACCGACCAACTGCAGTATTTTTTAATAGATTTTCACTCTGCTGCCAACTAAGACCTTCGTGATACCAACCACAAGTTTGTAAAAGTCTTTTAACTTCGCTTAGTCTAGCTGCATCTTTGTCCATCATGTAACTATCAAAACTCCAAGGACATGGCATTAACCAAGAGACTGGCGTAGTTGGAGTTCTATCTCTTCTATCATTGAAATTTTCTTCATTATTCTGAGTTTCGTTTTTCTGCACTAAACCTCCACCGTTAAAATTGTTTTTAGTTCTTGAAGATATACCTGACAAAGAATTAGGTGAATTGGTCGTAGTTGCAGTTATGTTTACTGTACATTGCCCTAAACTTGCAGGAAGCTGTACAGTTGCATTTACTTGAATCTGTACTCCTGAATTAGAATCCAAAACCATAGAGTTACGATTTTCAGAAACTTGGAGGTTATTTGATTTGACATGATAAAGATTTTGAACATTATTACAACAGCAATTAAAGTTTTGGCCTCGTTCCAATTCTTGTTCGTTTCTTTTAGAACTTTTAGCTTGCTGAAATTGCATCACTGGCACATTAGTCACTTGAAAATTCGAAAAAACTGAATTTTCCTCACAATTTCCTAATGATGTTCCCTCCTCTGTTTTTTGTGGTAGAATATTTCTTCGAGTTCCAGGTAATTCCTGGCAGCCACTTGGAGGTATTAAAAACATCCTTTCATCGTTTACGATTCCTTCGTGATTTCTTTGTTCATGAAGAACAATAGAAGCTTCCTGATTATCAGTTGATAACGTCTTTTGCACAAAACATCCACCACCAGACAATTTTGGACGGATTTCCATATGTGGTGTTTGTATAAGAGTTCCAGCATCTGTACTTTGAATTAAGCAGCCTCCAGATTGTATATTCGGTGTTGTTATTGTTACACTTCCTCCAGTTAAGTCACAACTTGTAGTAATTTGACATCCGGAACCTTGAGTCTTTCTTATTTCTTCATTGATTAATGGAAATCCAAGAACTTGTGTATTATTCTCATATCTTTGGAGGAAATTTTCCTTTTGTTTATCAATTCTTGGTTTCTCCAAGTCAAGTGTCATTGATGGATAGTTAAAAGAATTGATAACTGGTTGACTATGAATAATAGTTGGAGCATTTATAAAACAACCACCACCGCTGGTATAGCCTTTAGGAACTAGTAGGCCACCATAATAACAGGTCGTTGGATGAATTAGAGTATTATCCTCGTCCATGGTTTGTGGTTCACAACAACCTGGAGCTGGAAATCGGTGACGACAGTTTGGACACATCACCGTCAACATTTTTTGCAGAAATACTCTATTTTCAGCATAACACAGTCTTGTATCTATAAGCAAAAAACAAATTTTTTTATGAAGCAAATGTATGATATGAAATTATATGCAAATATATAAAATTATTTTCAATATGACTAAATATCATTCTACTATCTAACAAGTATTTCTTTAACATCTGATTTTTTATTGCTACTTTACAAAAAGTAGTAGCTTCAATTCTAGAAATAAGTTTCAAATATGACGAGAGAGAAAAGAATTGCTATAATTAGTAAAACGTACATATTTACTAATGTTATTTGAAGTAATTTATTTAAATACAATATGTAATATCATTATTTTAAACCATTCTCAGGCTAAAATATTTAAACATACCAATACTTTTTACTCAACTAAATTTCAAGGAATAAATTATATTTCAGATGCAGAACTTATGTTAATATACATACACCAACATTACTTATCTTAATATATTATATAATATATATGTTTTATAAAATGTATGTAATTGATTACTTAATCGAAACTTATAGAAATTTTAATATAAATAAAAAGCATTTTAAAAATAAATAATAAACATGAATCTCAATTTTTATAAAATTATACAATACTTCGTATTTTACTCATTCGGTATACGTGATTATTTATAAGTGACTGGCATAATTTACGTAATTGACCGCATTGCGTAAGTTATTTTCCATGAAAATCTGTTCCAACTAAAAATACTAACATGCCTCTATAATTTTGTTTTTCTTGTCATTTCACTTCACATAGTAAATTTTGTTTACATTCAATTTAAATAGTTTCTCAAATCCTAATTTTCGAGTTTTTCAAATTATATTTTATTCCGATTTTACTTTTTATTTTCGAAATTGCAATGCTGTTATGGACGTAACTTATTTTCAAAGAATTATTATTCGTCGAAAAATCAGTTATTCTTAATTATACAATTATTTTGTTTTACAAAATCTCGATATCTCTTACATTTAATTAAAGCCTATCTTTTTCTGCTAAAACAGAAAATATGACGTTAGAAATTAAGCGATTACATTTTTGTCAGTTCCACCTTATTTCGTTAATACGTTATAATCAAGTCATAAAATAATTATACACTATATGCAGCTGCTTCTTGTTCTAAGAATAAAACGTTTCGCGTTCAACCCGTATTCTTGCAAGGTTGATCAACAGGCGTAAAAAACAGTGAATAATTGTGCGTTGCGTAGTAAATAAAGGAATTCCAACGGAATCAAATTGTTTCTATTCCCCAAGAAAGTTCTTAATTAACAATGATTTAGAAACTGTGGAAACCCCTTTACAGTATAACGAATATTTATTCGTAAATTCGTAACAAAGAAAAGAAAAAGTCAATATTTCTATCGAAAATATAAAATCGAACAATTCCTCCATAATTAACAATATTTGTCCATTTCACGAATATACCATTGGCATCGAACACGCAAGAAAACATCCACACAGATGTTTACATTCGCTATCCTTATCTAACTACAGTCATCGCTTCTCTGTTATTATCGAAACAATTCAAATGATCGTAATATGGTAATAGAATAAAGTAAAATGCAGGATACTCGTAAAACGCAAAAAACGAAATACAAAGAATTCGTCTAACGAGTGTAAATCGATTTCTCATGAACATCTCCCCCTACCAACTGATCGGCGAGTCACTCGTTGACATAAGAGTCCGTTAACCTTGTCAGTGTCTCACTGGGGTTATTTAAATAATCGACCAAACGTCAGGCGCAACTTCCACGTACGACTTTACGATTCATAGTTTAAGACCAGGTGTCGCATTCTCCCGTGATCTCGACAGGAATAGAGACGCATCTTTCGACATCGTTCGCGCGCACCGCAGCTGCCTTCTTTTCCCATTGTGTTTTAATGGGCCACGTGGCAGAGAGATGTCCGAGTGTTAGTAAAGCGGCACGGAGCCGCTTTTCCACGAACGTGTCGCAACGCTAGAAGGCCAAGCCCCCATTTAGAAGTTGTTCTTGGCCTCTCCAACTCCCCACCACTGTCCATCATCTCGCTCCCCACCAATGGCGCCGTCCAACTGACAATCCCCCCCCTCTCTTCTGTCCCACACCGACACTACTGGTTTCTCTATATCAATCATATTCAGAGCTTTTTCTAAATATTTGTTCGCTTCGAACGAGATAAACTTCGTGTTTGCAATTTAAAACAAACCTTGGGTGATAATAAAAATATACAACGTATCGGTATTCGTTTAAATTTGAAGAGCAAATGTTCGAAATTGTTAAGAACAGTTTAAGTAACACTACTACCGTATCTAACCTTACGAAAACGTTTCATCGAGATATCTTTAACGGTTTTACGATAATGTCTGGTAATGTTCTTCCCACGAATCGACAGTAACAAAAACAGGTATTCGTATAAGAATAATAATCTGATAATTTCCCGATCTTTTATGCCGATTCCTGAAATGCTCGACGTACTTTTCAGAATACGAGTATCCTATCCATGCAACAGCGCCGATGTATCTTAGAGCGAATGTTGTAAACACGGCGAAAAAAGAATCAATGTTTTTCTTGTAACGCAATATTCCAGCGAACGGAACACTTTCGCCAGAATTGTCGTGTCACGATTAACAAACCTGCAGTTACAATAAATATTCATCGTTGCGAATAAAAGGAACGACTGCCGGTGCCGATTTCGAGAAACGATTTCACATCACGTCATCGACGAATTGGTATTATCCGGAACCCCATAATCGGTTCTACCAAAACGCTCTTCACGTGTTTACAACCCCCTTAATTCGCGTTATCGATAAATAAATTACAATGTAGATGTCGGAACCACGCATCTTACAATGACGGTAATTACCAAAGTAATCTTTTCCGGGAACCTCGGAACTGTAAATACAAAATTAACCAGATTATATGAAACGTTACAATGTATTCGTATTAATATTTTTTTATTAATATTCGTTTTATTGATTCATTTTGTATATTCGTATTCTCTATATCGATATTTTTGAAAAATAGTAAGAAATTTAAGTATATACGAATGATTTATCCTTTCAAGTGTGATTTACATTTTTGAAATTACTTTTGTCATTGGTTTAAGAATTTTGCATTGTTGTAATATTGTTAGAAAAATATGTCCATAAATATTATAGCAAATTATAATACATATTAGGTATATATAAAAGTAATAATTGCTGTGTGCAAATTTTCTTCTTGAGATTGAAGATTTTTTTTTTATTTTCTAGCCATCTCGTAAAAAAGAATTAAAAGGAAGATGCATTTATTTTGATTTTCTCGATGGAAGTAATTGTTATGAAAAGCGAATTATATATCTTATGGAATAATACCGAATAAAGGCGAGAACGTCAGAAGCGATTTCTTCAACTTCGTAGAAGACTAAAAATAATTCTCTTTCTTATCTTAATTAAATGCTAAAATTCATGCTGCCTAAATATTTTCCACGGTCACGAATTCTACATATTGTCAAATAGAAACATGAAATAATCAAATAAAGAATTATTTCGTTTCATGACGCAAGTTTGCTTCCTTATCGAGCCTTCCTTGAAATAATAGTCGTCAATTGATGACACGTACACGATATCGAAATTATGTGGTATCCAAATGTATAATAATCTTACGAAAGTGCCCAACTACGCAATCTATCGAAAATTTTATCGTCAAATAAGGGTCACCCGTTATCTATTTTGCAATTGTTTTTTATTTCACGTTATTCGTTCGGAAAATCCAAATTCTAGCAATTTTAAGTTTTAGTGAGAAATTGTTTCCGTTAAATCGCTTAATCATTATTATTTTTGTATTTATCGAATTATTCCACGTATTATTTTCTTTTAATTTTACTATATTCGTAATTTTCTTATTTTACGTTTTTACGAGGAATATTACAAAAATTTGATTACGAAATCTTTTTCTCTTTTTCAGGACGGAAGCGACTAAAATTTTCTTATAGGATAAAAAGTTTGGAAACGAGACCTGGTTTATCAATTAGTACCTATCACGCAGATTTGTTCCAGGTATAACGTTCGATCATTTATGGTCGTATTCTCGCCCAAACGAGCAATTTTAAGTTACCTTTCTTCAAAATGAACAACGAAAAAATCAACTAGACGCACTTTATCCAACATCCTATACTACAGGAAAGTAACTATAAAAAGTTAATTACAGTCCGCCGTGTTCTTCTCCCGTAGCAATGTTTATTAAATTTTATTAAACTATTTAATTAAATAGTTTATTGATAATTTTTATATTTTCACAGATTCAATTTTGTCTTATTAGCCGATATGCATAACGTAAATATGTTATTTTAATTCTCATTAGTGCGTCTATTATTCATATGAAAGATAAATGCAAATATTCGACGATGAGATAAGGTTCGAAAGTCAAATAAACTTTTTAACTTCAATGTTTTTCAACGAAAAAAAAGCAAGTACATTTGCAATAATAAATTATATCGAGATTATGTATTTCCAGCGTGCGCGTGAAAACACATTAATCAGGCAAATAATTAATGAAATATCTAAATGTGAAAAATTTCGAAGGAAAAACATATTTGAATAGCCAGCCATAAAGTGACACGATTTTTTGTATCTATATCTATTTTAATTAACTATTTCAAGGATATCAAGTTTTTCTTGGAATTCTTACAGGTTCGTACTTGTCATTTTCTCTATTTATTCATTGCGCAATTTTTTGTCATAATTTGTATGTCACGCGTATATTTTAATCTTAATTTCAACCTCTGTATTTTTCTCCACAGCCTTGGCAGTCCGTTGAATTCTGGTAGGACACACAAAGGACCATTTTCGAAGATTCGTAAAAATCGAGCTGGCAGATTTTTCGAGGTGAAATACGTGCTCGATGTTCATTAAAAATCGTTAATTTTGATTTTTTATTATTCACGGTACCCCTGATCTTTATTCTTTCCCGACCATCTGTTCTCTCCTGTCGTTGGAATGCCAAGGGGAGTGGAAACGGTCAAAGGAGAGAGAGAAGGAGAGAAAAATCTTTCTTCGAGCAAAGAGGACTTCGCAGAATCGGACGTCGTAGCTTTATTTGAGGAAACAGAACGAGACTCTGATGGAGGGCCACAAAATTAGAAGAAATCTAAGAGAATGCTTTTTTCTGCTATCACGAGGACTCGGGATTTACGAATGCATCAAGCAGGATATAAAGAGGAATAATTTCTTTCTTTTTATCCATTTCTCGCTACTACAACGTCCCTCTTCTCCACGGATATTTATTTAAAAGATATTTCAACGAATCGCAAGCTAATTAACTTTCCTTCAAAGGAAAAATCTTTACGTGTACTTTCTAATAGCATTGCATCGCTGTCCAACGATTTTCGAGAATAATTCGTTATTTAATTCTGAAAATCGATCTAAGGGACACGAAAGATCGAAAATGAAAGATTCGTCGTGGCAACGATCGATATTCGCGAGGATATTTCACGAAGAGGAGAGAAAAAGGAAAAGGCGTGAAAAAGGAAGTGATAAAAATGAAGGAATAAACGTATAAATGCTAAGAAACGATTATTATGTACATATGTATAGGGATAAGAGAAGAATGGAGGAGTGCATAAATTTGGTGAAGAAAAAGCAAGGAACGAGTTTTACGATGCACGTTCGAAGTCATAAGGTGGTTCGAAAGCATCATAAATCGAGAGAAGGGTTTGGGATCTACCCTGTTTCAAGGGGTCTGGCTAGAAATTCGTCTTCTCGGAAAACGACGAACTGGGCTGATGACCTATACGCCGGCGAAATACAGTTCGTCGTAGCGAATGCTAATTTTACTGGTCAACTTCATCGATGCTACGGTCCTTCGGTTATACAGCTCTCTTCAAAAGTCACCGACACTCGCAAATATTATATCTGGATACAATTTTTTCCATTTTTAAATTATTTACCATGTCTCAACCACAGACATTTTTCACTGAAAATCTCGACTAAAATCGCGAATTATTTTATACATACAGTGGCAACAGAGATGACAAAAGAAAGTTTAAATTTTGATGCCGATTTTAGTCTAATATATGTATTATAATATTATATAGTCTAATAAATATATTATATTTCTGGAAAATCCATGGCTGTTGTAAAATGTAATTCCTTCTTGCAAAATTACGGAGTTCCTACATAATGTCTAATATTTGAACTTTCTTTTGTCTGCCACTGTATATATAATTTATATCATACTAACATCATGTTTATTGTAATAAGATAAACACGTATAATGTATATTGAATATATAGAATTTAAAGAGAAAGACGTGTGTGTATAAATCCATACGTACAACGATTTGACCTTTATTAATTTTGGAAGTAAACAAATATTCAATACTGACGTGAACATGGAAATTTAATAAATGTCTGTCATAAAGGAGCAAATAAAGGAGAGAAACCAACAAACGAAATTCGAAATTTTCCTTTATATTTACAATTGTTATATAATTTTTACAAATGAAACTTGAATTTTCAACATTATTGTATGTTTGCAAGATTTTTAAGATACAAATGAAATTTTCAATCGCGAATTGATAATTAAAAATGACTATAAAACGTTAGATGTATTACCAAAAATAAAAGAAAATGAAAAGGAAAGAAAAGAGAAAAATGTAATTAATAAAATCTCACTGTTTAAGTATATTCTCGTGAAATTTTGGAGTGAAACAAGTTGCGAATGGAGAAACCTGATATTAACTTTTGGAGTTAATTGAGCAGTCTCCACTTATGAATAGTACTGTAGCTGGCCTCGTTATCGGCAAGATTTCCAGCAAGTATAAATGAGAAGAGGTTCCTCGAATGAGTGGTAACACGGATTTTATCACTTACAGATAAGCGTGAATTTTATTTTACAAGCTTTCGAAGAAATAAACCTGCTTCCGTGAACGGATCTGCTTTTGTTGTTACAACTATTTAGAGCATTAGCCTTTGTTTATTAACAAATTATTAATTTCATCTAAATTTTATAAAAACGTATTTCACGAATTTTGCAAAAATGAAAAAAAAATGTAAATCAGATATACAAAAAATTATGCACGAAACAAAATTTGTCAAAAATAAATTAATTTAACAAATGCAAAATTATTTCATTTTTTACAATGTAAAATTTAAATTCGTTAAATATCATCGTTTATATTTTTTCAGAATTTCGTATTGTAATTCAAAATTTATGCAATTGCATTTTATTTAATTATAAATTATGCGGTTAGTTAAAATTGTTGATTTAAATTCTAACATTAAATGTTGGATATAATACGAAATTGGAATATTTAATTCGAGAATATTGTGTAATAGGTTGAAAAACGTTAAAAAAACGCGAATGCTTTCATTTCCCCCATTGCAGTTTATATGTTTCTTTTAACTATTTGTTAGAGTCACTCCTTCTGCGAAAGGAGGTCAAAAGAAACAAAAAACGAGCGAAATGACTCATTCCTTTTTCTTATTGGCAAATAACTAGGGGAAAAAAAAATGTTAATTTTCCAGCAATAAGTACAAAATCAATTAGCCATGACGATATATTTCCACGTAAAAATATCGATTTCGTTGAACGAACGAGAAATTTTATAGCACGTTACAAGCGATAACTTCGAAACGATCATTGGAACGTAAAAAAAGAAAAAAAAAATTACCGCAAGTCCATTAAAATTCATAGGTTAACCGTTAAAATGGATATAAATGTATCCAGCACGATGCTCGAGAGGTGAAAAAGAATTACCATACAACGTCGAGTTCACAGAAAGCGATTACTGAAAACTCGACGAACGTTTAAAAGCGTTGCTTACCGAAATGTTTCTGTGATTTGGTGACAACCGAGAAGAAATCCCCTACGAAACTTTCTCCGAAAAGGCACTTCCACTTTCACCTCACGTCTCGAAAATAGCTGCAAGCACTGCTAAAAATAATTCCAGTTCGAAGCACAATAGAAAGCTTTCGAATTTTTCGTTCTACTTAAAGGCCAGAAACGAGAAGCTCGGATATCGAGTGTAATACGGCTTCGACGTGGATACACAGCGTCTACTTTCGAAGGATTGTCAAAGTATTATGTTAAAAAGACACCAGACCGATTCCCCCAACGTGAGAGTCGGGATAGCACTGGCGCTGCTACCACTGAATGAATCTATAATTGCTTTGGTAAGCACGTGATCCGCGCGAGAGTGGTGGGGGAAATCGTGGAAGACTCGTCGAGGGAGCATTAAGAACTCTATTTTAGCGATGGCTACGACGTGGAGACGACCGACGAACTGAAATACTAACTTTTTTAATAATTTATGAACGATATCGAGTTTAAACTTGCTTTTCGATACCGCGATAACTCGATTAATATAGCATATTTCAATTCGTCAAAAGAAACAACGAAAACTCGTAGAAATAATAATTAAATCTACGACTATGACCTTCGATGCTGAATTTATTATTTCAGTTATTCCTATTACATAAACATACTAGGAGATCGAATAGGAGCTATACACCGGATAAATATCGTATTACGTAAAAATACGTCGAACACTTCTTTCCTAGAATTGCACCTTTTTTTACGTTAATTCCGCAATTTGAAAATAAACATCACGGAATTCAGTGAAAACAAACTATGGCGAAAAAATTTATAATAACAGGTTATGTAGGTTATATTACAGAATAGCTCGCATACTCGATACCTCGTTGCGACGAAGTATAATAAACGATCGATTTTAGTCTGTTTTCTTTTACTTCTTTCCGTTTCCGAAGTGCCTTTCATAAATTACTATACGAGCAAATCGACGACTGCTATAGTCATCGACGTAAATATTTCTTTCCAATTAAAAACCGTTCTCGGAATTCGTCTTCTTAATTCTATTTAAATGATATACCGGCATATCGGTATACCAGTTGGTCGGGAATAAGCAGGATCAGCGATTGGTCAAAGCTATCGCTATTGCATGTGCGACAGAGCACATGGCTCGCGGAAAAATGGATTCCTTTTAACTGGTTTACGTGCGATCTCGTCTGCGCTATCGCGTCATCGTTCTCGCTTACGAGTTCGTATTTCCGTGGGTCTCGTCGAAACGTCACGAATTCCGACGATTTGACGCCGTACACTTACGCGATCTTGGCTGCCAATCGATCGCCGCTGCCAGACTAACCCCCACCCCTGCGACGTGCTCGACATTGGCAAACGTTTCGCGAACTGTTATACGGTCAGAGGTTCCTTTTAGAATAACAAAATCGATCCGAAAAATTGCACGACTTTTCCAGAATTTTAATACACTCGAAATATTCCCACTAAAACGCTTCTCGTTTATCGAACTTCCGATCTTACGTAACAACGCCTGTAACGTCCATTCGAACACCGATGCTTCGAACAATACGAAATCTTGTACGTTTGAATTTCGCGCGGGAGTTACATTTAAAAGGGAGACCAAATTTCTCTGACCACTTTTTAACATTCTTTTTTTTTTTTTTCTTGTTTTGTTTTCCTCGAATCAGAGATATTGAGAAAGCAACGCTTATCGGACGGTATTGATATTCAATGATTAATCACTAGATGTTTTATACATGTACTACGATCGGATAACTTTAATTGACTTTCGTGGAAAGCAGCGCGCCTGTTACACTTCTTGTCACTTTTTATCGCTTTTTCTCCTTCTTTTTATTTCCTTTCGGTTTTACTCGATATTATTAGCACGAAAACAAATGACGATGAATTCGTTATGCTCGAGGTATCGAATATTCTTCTGTTTCTCCGAATATTAGATTCTCATGAATATTGAAAACACGCCCCTCCCAAAAAAAGGGGAAAAAAAATAAAAATAAAAAAAGGGAGATAATACTTGTATCTGGACGATTGATGAAGAATTCTGGTAAGGGAAGGGACAAAAAAGAGAAGAAAGGAGACGGACGGAGATCGAGAGAGAGAGAGAGAAAGCGAGAGAAACCGAGAAAGAGAGAGAGAAAGAGAGAGTCGCGCGTACCTAAGACACGTTATTCTTGTTCATTTCCAAGAATAAATCCGTAAGAATCCAGCTGGTCGCACAATACGAGTTTCTCTTAACAAAATACGCTACACCCTCCGTCCCTCTCCCTTTCCAGCATTTTGCAAACTTTCCGATTCAATCTAGATCCAGCGTGCTTTACAAGCATTTGTTTTTTAGACATTTTCACTGGAAACGGTGAAATCTTATCTGAACAGTTAATCTCTTTTCCAGAATTTTGCCATATTTGCCGCCAAGATTTTTTTGCTATCAACCTGGAATTGTAACAGAAACTCGGGCATCTTTCAATCTTTCTACAATCTTCTAGGCTTTCGTATACCATATTCAAGTATATATGTATCCCCAGAAGAACCTCGAAAATTCAGTTTTTAGACAGCATATAAAGACTCGTACTGTCTGTCGACATTTGTGTATACTTCATGGACACGTACTAACAAACTTTATACAATCAGCAATAAAAAAAGGCGTTTAGAAATAATAAGTGTAATAATAATAAGTTGTGTTACATAACTAAGGTTGATAAATAATAAACAAAATTATTAATATTTATTATTACACTTAATATAAATTAATATATGTTATATTAAATTAAGCATATTATTTTATTTATTAATATAAAAATATTAATAAATAAAATTATATAAATAACGTCACTGATAACATATATGACATATAAATACATACATATACCAATATTGATTTTTTTTTTTTTGGTGATAAGATAAAACCTTTTTCATTGAGTCAGAGTCAAATAGTCAAAATTGGAAAAATTCATTAAACTATAGTTTTACCCAAATATATAAACATATAAAGATATAAATACATATATATGTATAAATAATGATTTTTTGCTTTAGTGATAAAATAAAGTCTTTTTTTAAAAACCGGAGCTAAATAGCCAAAATTGGAAAAAGTCATTATACCGGAGTATTATTGAAATATATATTAATAACGTATAAATAATAATTTCAACTTATTCGGTTATTTGTATTATTTATAAAAATGCATAAATTTTCATCCGAATAAAAACTGTCCTTTATATCTCAAGCAAGATTTTTTTCGAAAATAAAAACTTTTTGATTTTATCTCGAACGATTATTAAACATGAAAGTTTAAAGAATAAAAATAAACATGAGTTACGCAGCATGATTTCCGCATATACATTTATAAGAACCGCTATTCGAAATGTTTGCTGCAGTTGACCATGCTGTCCCTCATAGAACCGTGAATTTTATGGAACCCTTAACCATCAGAAAAATGTTCTCTGCTGATGATACATGGGCCCCAAAAGAGGTACACCTGGCCATGAGTCATGTCTGAAACCTATATCCTAGCAGACGTTAGTGACGCATGTGACGTTTTCTTCTACGCAGACATTTGTATCTTTCGATAAATTGCAACTTTCGTGTTTATAATCTTCGTTAAATATTTTGCCTTTATTAAACATTTTTAATAATTATACATGATATTATAATAATATTAAACTTTTTAATATTCAATTGAAAATAATATTCAAACATACATTGTTTCTACAATGCAAAAATGTTATTTCGATAAGAGTAACAAAAATATTGCGTTAAAATAATAATAATAATAATACTGTTATATAATAATAGAATGATATTAAGTATTTGAATATTTAGTTAGAAATACCAAAGGCGAAAATGGTAACAATATGTACCAAAAAAATATAAAAATGTCAAACATACATTGTTTCTACAATGCAAAAATGTTATTTCGATAAGAGTAACAAAAATATTGCGTTAAAATAATAATAATAATAATACTGTTATATAATAATAGAATGATATTAAGTATTTGAATATTTAGTTAGAAATACCAAAGGCGAAAATGGTAACAATATGTACCAAAAAAATATAAAAATGTCAAACATACATTGTTTCTACAATGCAAAAATGTTATTTCGATAAGAGTAACAAAAATATTGCGTTAAAATAATAATAATATTGTTATATAATAATACAATCATATTAAATATTGTAATACTTAGTTAAAAATAACAAAAAGGAAAATGGCAAGAATATGTACAAAAAAATATTAAAACGTTAAATATACTTTATTATATGATAATGCAAAAATATTACCTCGATAAGAATAAAAAAATATTGTCGAGTTACATAATAACATAAACAATATAACGATATTAGATATTTTAATATTCAACTAAAAATAGCAAAAGCAAAAATAGTAACGACGTACTGAAAAATGTTAAAACGTCGAATATACTACTCTGTTCCGATAATGCAAAACTGCTGTCAGGATAAGAATAAAAAATATCATCTCGCTGGATGTTTTAACGAAATCGTTAACAGGCCATTAAACGTATTTAAATTCGACCGTAAGCACGTTGTTACATTCCCGTCCCTGTGGAATTTATTTCGGTAATAAAGAATGTGACCGTAATGGCCGGCAGTATTCGAAACGTGTCTTCGTAGATCACACATTTCCAGAAAGCTTTTATGTTTCCTGAACAATGGGTGGAGGCCGATTCCGTTATTAGGAACACAATGCGTCCCATTGTGCATTTATGGGGCCCCTAGTGGGGGAGATTTCGTGGTAAATTGCCGGGTTTTGTAGAAATCGCTCTTTTTGAGGTTGAACAGTTCCAGCCGTGAACAGTTCCTCGAACATTGAAATCTTTCCAAAGTCTTTGTACCAAGGCACGCATCGAAACACCTATATACCTTATATTCAATTTCCACGTGACCGTAAACCGATAAACGATATATATCTTTATTCGTTTTTCCAAGCGTTTTTAATCTCTCGTGAAAGTTAAATAGAACTCTCTAACGGGTCGTTCCGTTTCAATGGAAAAACAGCAGTAAAATAAATAACATATCCGCAACGGTATCACGGAGTACCAATTACAGCTAAATAAGCCACTATAACAATGCAGTGGCAATAATACTAGATACGCAGCGCGACAGATGCATCGGAACGATTTCCTCGAAACGATGAATACACCTCCCGACGCGATCGTAATTTTAATTCTAACCTCAAATTGCGAAAGAAACGTTGCCGTTGAATCTGTATCCATCGAATAATAATGCCCATCGCGTTTTGTTTCCGTGCAGCGTGTCGAAGTTAATTTGTAACGATTATGTATACTTTCGCAGGAACGCAAATGATTTTATAATGTCGCGTTCCGGCGCGCAGGTAAATTAGAAAGCCTGCCAAAGAGCAGAAACTATAGAATGATAAAGGTTACTAGAAGCGAGCGGGCCGTTCATCGGTGGATCGAGGACTATTTCAGAGAGGATTCCAGGAACGTTTCGAACGGAGAAATCGAGAGACACGCTATGCTCCCATTTCAACTGGTCGCGTAAGTATATGGGCCTCATAGAGCTTGTTATCGTGTCTGTTACCTTGTGGTAGAGCCAGGCATCTTATCGCAAACAAACAAACTTCTTTATGACGATTACACTCGGTTCTCTCGAATCGACCTTTCCTCGAACCGACCGTCCAAGGGCGCGCCTTCCGATTAAGGTCGAGACAACGATTGTCCGAAATACTTCACGTCACACTTATCCTCTTTTGCATATCTTCCTTTTTATCCTTCCGTTAACGATCTCGCTCACCGTTACCGGAACTCGCGCGAGCGCAATTTTGCAAAACTTTACAAGTGTTCCGATACTTTCGACAGTCGTGTACGCATTCTACGATATTCCGAGTTTCGAAATTAAAAATAGTAAATTAAAGAATTACTTTCAAAACAGCTACCAACTCGATTTAAACTCACATCGATGTAATTTTATGCAAAATAAAAAATTTTATTTCGGCTCAACTATAAACGCGACTATAACGGTCCTGTGTTTTGTATTATATTCTGCGCTATACTCTGCAAAAGTAGTTTTGCGTTATTGTAAAATAGATGAATGTAATGGAAACGAAGTAAGAAACGAATTGCTTTTCTCGCACTTTTGGTTTAGGTCATTTTCATAATTAACGGCATAAACGTACGAGTATGCTCCTTTGTTATGATTGTATATGCAATGCTATTATTTTTATTGGTTGTTAATGTAAAGTGGCTATCATATCTCGGTTAAAACAGTGATTCCCATTTGGTACTTCGCGATAAACCGCGTGATAAAAAGAAGTGCGATAAATAAGCACAATGAATTATTCAACACGATGCTGGCAAATTTACTGTCAATTTTCACGCGTTATTTCAAAATTAGAAGATAGGTTTAAAAAAATAGATTTAAGACGATTTTGAAATTTTTACATTCGCCTTTAACTTTTAAATTATGATTTTTTCGTAAAATAAAGAATAATGGAGCATATGCAAATAAAGAACGAGAATAGTCCCCCGCTCGGTGTGTGTGTGTGTGTGTGTGCACGCGCCTCTCTCTCTCTCTCCGTGTGTGTGTGTGTGTGTGTGTGTGTGTGTGGGGAGGGGGCGTGTGTGTGTGTGAACAGGATACGTCGAGGGACACGCCGTATAGCCGAGTTTACGTTTTGTGGAAATATCTTAAATTGAAAATAAAATGATTTGACGTGAAGGCTTTTCTTGGAAAATTTTGTCGCTTCGTAAATATTTGATGTGTGAAGCGAAAAACATCACAGATCAAATAAAGCTTATTTCGTATCTATGATGAAACCTCGTAATAAAATTAATATAATTGTTACTATTTCTCTGAAATAATCCCCCGTGCACAAAATGTGACATGTATTTTACGAGGAATTGCAAACATTATGTAAATTATCGAAAGTGTTTTAAAATTATATTCCACTAAGCCAAAAAATATTTATCGCGTGTAGAATGATAAAATATATTATTATTAAATGGTTACACATTTATTTGTATATACAAATCATAGAATTACAAACATTATTCAATCATCAAATAATTCTAATTTAAAACTTTCATCTCGAATATCTATATTCTTAATTTCGGATATTTTGTTATAAAACATTAATTGTTTCTTAAAAACGATTCTTATTTAGTCATATTTGTACGATATTAATGAAATATTTCAAAATCGTAAAAATAAATGTGGAAACATGGAAACGTTTGAATATAGTAATTACTTATTTAACGTACAATTTCTGCTTAAACATTTACGATACTAAACACAACGATGATACCGGTAAAATCAAATTGTAAAGTCAAATGTAAAACCAATATAGGAAAAGAAGAATCGAGAAATAGTTATTTTGTAAGTTACAAAATATATGAAACGAATATGTGGTATAGCTATTTCTATATAATATGTCTACAATAAGAACATTTACAGTGATAACGGCAATACGCTATGTAAATGTACAAGTTTATGTACTTTACGCTCTAAACAAACGAGCAGCGAGAAGATTTTAGCAATCAGAACATAGTATTCTAATAACATAAAAACAATATCAACCCGAAACTTGTATTTTAGTTATTTTACAGATGCATAAATGAAAAAAACATTCGAGGAAGTACAACGCCATTTTTCCATGATTGTTTTCCAACCGAAATTTTAGATTATATAAATTGATGTTTCTTTAAATAAAGTACTCGGAGGAGAAAAAAATAGCTTATCGAGAAATAGAAAATTTGTATAAAAATAAACATTTAAAAGGATAAAGGTGAACGTACCTTCTACACTCGTTCTCGAAGCGTCTCCTACGTGTATATACAGTTACAGCTACACAATAAAGATACAAATTTTAAGGAATCTCGGAAACGATTTTCACTAACAAAAGTACAAATTTGGAAGGCTAACACTGGTTGACTTCACTTATTTTACATTTGTAACAGAATTTGTGCAGAGATTCCGGTTCGGCGAATATATTTTAGCGTCTCAAACGAGCAAGCTCCGCCATTGGTGTTATTAGTTCTTAGAACCAACAACAGAGGGTACTCAAAATAGCTAGAGTTACCTCCAATATTTGAATTGTTAATTCCATCCATTCAACAGTACGAAGAAAACTGAAAAATAAAGACGTGTTTTAAAAACTAAAATTATACGATGAGTTGGTTACAATGCGATATGTATAATCTGTATTTTATATCGCGTGTATTCATATTGCTATACTCGTTGCTATAAATTACAGATGTTGTTGTATACATATGTATATACATATACGTAAAAATATTAGTATTTACAATTTGTACATTTGTTTAAAGCTAAGGAACATTATTGATGTGATCACATTATATTATTATCGATATATTATTAACGGTAACAAACATTTACATTACAATTCACGAATAAGGTATATAGAGTTAATTTAACTGTAATAAATAAGGTATACCTCTAATGTTAAATTCGTATTTATATATCTTTTAATTTTTTAAGGACGAAGCTATCTTCGTTAAAATCACAGTAACATTCTTTTAGTAAGATTTCGAAGTAATTATAATAAACAAGACAATTTTTATGAATTTAGAAATACTGGATATACGGTTATTTTCTTATTTTCTCTGTTACAACATCAATGCACGTCTACTCTTATTTTTGACTCCTAAATTCATGAAAAATTCATTCATGACCAAATTATTACAAGGAAACCGCCTTTAGCTCCATCTGTTAGCGTGACGGACAAAGCTTTAGCGGAACTTATAGGATAAGATCTGCTAGTAGGATAAAGTCAACGCTTACGTACAACATTTTGTTGTAAGAAGAATAAGTATAAAGTGCATTAGCAATAATAAATTGTATCGTTAATATATGTAAAAATAAACTATTACATGGCATTAGTCTGTATTTATAGTCTCATGTCGGCTAGACATGAACGAACAAGTAAACACTAATTTTATTATTTAGTTATTTTACTTCTTTGAAAATCACAATCGACAGATGTACGTTTGGCAGAGGAAAATATCGCTGGGACAGAAGTCCACCGTTTCCTCTTTAACTATACATGTGTTACTTGCGTCACTGTATGACTTGTGCCAGTGTTTCCATTATTCTCTATACAAATTTGTTTTCCAGTAGTCTTGGGAATTTTCCAGCTTTTGCAGAAAAGTTCGTTAAACGTTTTTCTAAACTGTCTACTCATTGTGCAGTACAGTATGAAGTTGATGGCTGAATTAACAAGAGTAAGCGTATCAATAACGTCACCTGTAAATTAAAAAATACTTCTTAGTATTCATTATAATTATACTATTAGTAAATTCGATTATATTACAATGAAAAATATAATTTCTTAATATTTTCAAAACTAATTAAAAATATTAAGAATTTATATTTTTCATGTATATCAGTTATAAAAAGACTTAATTTAGAATGATAACAAATAATATTTCGTAGTATAAAATATTAAAATAAAGACATAATTATCAAATGTAAGGACAAATATTTTTAATTAATATCACAAATATTGTAAATGATATTATCAACGATATTATCGATAATTTAGCTGACGGTAATACTAAACCCGTCCTTCGGTAAAGCTTTTCAAATGTATCGCTTTTCTTTCTCATTCATTCTCTTTCATACATGTTGAGGATTATTTAACGACTATTCATCGCCTTTTAAATTTTTCCTAACTGCTCCGTACTGTTGGTACTCGTACAATAGTCTATACTGCTTTTGTGTCAAAGTGACGATAACTCTCTTTTATGGAAGCAAAAAATCATTTCCCACGTAAAAAATTCGAACTCCCTGAATAAACTACTTTTTTATACTTCTTAATTAAATATAATAATACTGAATGAAAATTGAATTATTATAAAATCAAAAATATTGAAAGAATATTAAGCAATTATTAATAAAAGTTACAAATTTGATAAAAGTGACAAATATTACTTTTCAATTCAGTTAATTAAGTAAAATTAATTTTAATTTGCTTTTGTAAATAGGGGTAAATTTTGTATTATTTTCCTAACAAGAACGCAATGTATATTAAATTCGTTTTTAATACGATAAATTAAAATTTGTATTTGGATCAGACAATTTTCGTATTTCAATTTTTATGCATTTATGCAAGCAAAAGTTTGATTTGGAATAATTTTTAAAATGTTTATAGTATTTTTCATAAAATGAATATTATTTCCACTATCGATATTTTTATTTCATCCTGCATAAAAGCACTTCTGAACGTATTTATACAATGATGTTCCTATACAACCAATGTCCACCAACCTCTTCTTTTTGTACGCTAAAAAACCTAAATAATAAATAAATCAATTTTTACTACGATCATTACTTTATCGTTTAATATAAACTTTAGTTACTCGTTCAAATTATAATAATTATATTATATCAATAAATATTTTGCAATAATATCATTGTATATTATAGAATTATTATACAATATATATTATACAATATATTATAATATACAACATATTATACAATATTATATTATACAATATATGTATATTATTGCTAATATAATATAAATATCATGACATATACATACATGAATGTGTATACATAATGTAAACATATATAAATATAAATATAAAAAAATATAATAAATAATGTAGCTTAAAGGTAACAAAAGTTGACTCATTTTCATATCAGATTACTGAAGGAATAAAAGAGAAAAAGTAAAAGTAATTGTATTCCGAAGTAAGGTAAAATATATTTACAAATAATGGGAACAGTTCAACGTTAAGGTTCTCTATCGATTGTATCGAAAACGAAGGTTATTGTAGGAACATCGACATTCGATAAGTTTATGTCCAGATCAAATTTTCTTAGCTGGAACAGCAGTTACGGATTATGTAATAATGTTGTCCAGAATATCGCAATATACATACAAACGATAGTAGCATAATACGTGTGTAATCGAACATATTAAACATTCTAGATAAAGGGTCATATATCCTTAATTTAAATGCAAAACAATTATTGGTTCGGTCGTAATTTTACGCTTTATTTACCTAATTGCTATTTCACGTAATGTATGGTGTTTACAAACGAATGAATTTTTACACTTTTATTTTAATTAATTCTATTAACACGTATTCAAATAGTTTCGATAAAGTATTATTTACAATGTATCATCAATTTTTTGTAAACATTCATAATAATTATTTTTAAAGACCGCAATTTATACAACAGTCTTAAATTCTTTACGCAGCTAGCTGTATTATTCTGATTTAGATTGGGAGCATAATTGAAAATAATTTCTAATTAAATTTTTTAATCAAAACGTGTGGAATATTTTTACAATTATTGCATAATTAGAAGAATGATCTAGCAATTTTTTAATATTTATAATAATTGAGTCTTAACGGTTAAAAGAAGAAAGATTTAATTAATTAAATTTTAAAAAAAGTCTGAAAAAGTAAATTAAAATTTAGTGGTAAAATTTCAGAAGACTTATAATTTCTTTTATAACTGTAATTAGTAATTTCTAAGTCACTATAAATGGAAAGATTAATAATTTGCATAATAATAATAACTAATTTATAAACCAAAATACGTGAAATAAATTTAATAAATTTTAAAAATTAATCACAATTCATTCTCCAACTGAATAATATAAATAAATTAAGTAATTAAATTTCAAAGATTAAAAGGGTAAGGGTTAATTAATTAAATTTTAAAAAATCACTGAAATGTAAATTAAGATTATACAATACAATCTTTCTATATAAACTTTCATTCTTTTATATCTTAGAGTTAAATCTAAATTGAATCTAACTTGAACCTAATTTGAATCTAATTTCAATCTTTGGAGTTTCTTATGTAATGTCATATGCTATATGTACTATGTATTGACTTGTAAATGTTGACTTCTGGATCTTAAAGTAAAATATAAAGCATTGTTCATTAAGAATCAACAGAGCCATAATGAACGTAGATAGAAACAGAGTGCGAATAGATTTCAAGGTTTTGCATTATCTAGTTCGTAGAAAGTGAAATCAATGCTTCTGTCCAACTATATGATACTTGCACAGCGTTTGAAGATAAACGATTATTACTTTTGTAAACTCGGAATTACATTTCCTCTGATGTATAATTCAACGTATAACACTACATTGCTTTAACCCTTTGCACTCGAGAGGCACCCTTCAGTCGCCATTTGATAAAATTTCGAAGATGGATATTAATTAATATGTCAAATTTAAGATAATGTAACGATGTGCGAGGTACCGAAATGAAATAATTCTACGTGACGATTATTATACTATTTCTTATTTACTGCTCAAAAAAATATCGTCAACTTTATAGCAGAAAATCTTCCAACTCCTACTCTTCTTTAATCAAAAAATCGTCGAGTGCAAAGGGTTAATAATTAAATAATGACAATCTTATTCTCATAGCAAACTCAGCCTCTTGTACCAACAAATACTACAAAATTTTGTATTTCCACTACAAAATTATCTTCGAGTGTTACCAAAGTTCTGAGAAACGTTGAGATGAATTTGAATATATAGCTTCCATCAGTATTTTCGATTAAATTATCATGAACTTGAAATACTATAACACAAGATGAAACTATGAAACTCTTAACGGGTTAAAACTTTCGTTTGAAAGCTATATGAATAAAAATATGAATTATAAGTTCTGGTATACAGACCCAACATTAAATAACAAGTCCGAAAGAATCCCTGGCCAAGGAGCACACTGAGAAGTCCCAGGATTCCCTGTGGTAACTCTGTCACTAGAAAAAGCAGCAGCACTGTGAGCAACATTTTCGTAGTCCTGTCAGTTTGTCGTTCTTTGTCCATTCTTCGACAACAATCTTTCTTCTCAACATTTTGATCATGAACATTGATCAACTTCTGCCTCCTTTGCTTTGCCTCCAGCAGAACTTGTAGAAGTTTTAAACTGACGATCGTTAGGATAGCACAAGGGAAAAGTTTTATTACGACACTATAGATCCAAAAATTTAGGTTCTTCAAGATGTCATGATCATTCGCCACTTCTGTTTGAACGACGTAAAGGGTCGTATTCGTCGTGTTACCTAATAAAATTTTAACAAATTTTCAGTAATTGAACAAGATAAACGGTAATAAATTAATTAGCAATAATAATAAATTAGTCGAAAAAGATTTAGCGATAAAAATTAATTTTATCTTCATACAGAAGAGAGTGAAAAAGAAATTAGAATGAAATACAGTTTTCTTAATATCTATTTTCTTATACGTATATTTTTAATAACAATATTTTACAAATATTTTATTACTAAATATTTCGAATATTAAAATAAAAAATACGAAATAAAATACTACATAACTCTTAATCTGTAAGTCGAACGTTTTATTTAAATGTACCGATAATTATGCAAACGGCCCAAATTGTATATGTTTCTCTCGAAGTATTCAAATTTTCGCGCTTTAAATATGTTATACATTGGAGGAATTAATTACGACAAAGTTTCAACCTCGATTTAACAATTCAATTTTTTACTATTTTGTGAAAAATAGTTTTATTTTATTGTAATGTAAATTAATGCAACCCAAAATAAGAGACGAAATTATTTCTTTTGGATTTTTCACTTAGGCTATTTTCGTAATATATAATTATTTTTCGTGTACTAAACAGAAACAAATTCAAAATCAGAATAAATTTTGACTTCGTATGAAAGGAAAGAAGAAAGAATGGAATTAATCAGGAAAAAATAGAGTTTATTTATGTCAAAATATTAACCTTTATATTTACTAATTACCAATTTTATTTTACAGGTTAAAAATTCTATTCAAACGTGTAATTATTTCCCGCGTATTAATTAGGAAAACAATTGTTCGATTAAAATGAATTTTAATTTTATGCAAGAAAGGAAAGAATTTAATCTAAAAGAAATAGAGTTTATTAATATTAAAATATTGATCTGATTACTTATTGGTTGTTAGTCTTATTGTATAAGTTAGAATTTTCATTCAAACAGGCAATTATTTTCCGCGTTTACTATTTTCACAAGAGCAAGGAGATGTATCGATAATTCACAAGTTGGTAAATTAGAATTTTTAAAAAACCTCACTCTTTTATTTTGTAATTTGCTTTTATTATCAAAATATCATTAAAAGCTTGGAAACCTGCGGTTATTAGTATGTCGTTAGACACAAAGTAGATTTTCCATCGTTATGTTAATTATCATATTCGACATACAAAGTGTCTCATATAATATATAACACATTAATTCCACGAAAATTGGCAATAGTGGTGAAACTCTTCTTGATATTTTAAGACACTCCGGGGTTTTTTAAGTAATATATTTACTGTCACTACCAACTATACTTAAGAAGAAGGGATAATATCCCTCTCCTTTTCTAGAGGTACGTAGTATTAATTAAATCACCTTTAAATAGATCTCGTATTTCATTTATAATTATTTGTCTATAATATGTATTCACACTCAATTCATAATATATTAATACCGATATCCTTTTATACATTTTTATTTCTATGAATTCTTCATTTTTAAGTCAAATTTTATTAATACTTAGGTCAAGGGTACTTTTTCATACTTTATCATTGTTAAAGTAAAAAATGTGAAAATATTTTAAAAGTATATCTTATAAAATGGGGTAATAAAGTTTCATAAAAGACATCTTGGATAATTAGTTACTTGATATTTTTCTATCACACAAGTAAAAACAGGTTATTATTAAGTTTTAATAAGAAAAATAATTCGTAAACTTTATAAAACTTCTAATAACGAATTACCATTAATATTTTTAATTTTTATAAGACAAGTTGTATAATTGCTATATTTTTTATACGGTTAATGATATTCACAGATTGTAATTTACTATCTTCTTTTAATTGTATTGTTAAATGTTCCACGTACAAAGGTGTTAGGCAGAAATATACAAAATATTCATAATTTGTGAAATATTAAAATTTACTAGTTTTCAAATCATTATTATAATATCACATTCAATTTTCGTAAAAGATTTGTAAGAACTAATTAGGTTAAATTTATATGAACATAAAAGAAGATAAATTTGATGCTACTATTATGACACTCGTAATAAAACGACATAAAATATGTTTGTGTTGCAGCAGTAGAACGATACACATTTTCTGATCAAACGTAATATAAGTCGGTAAGAAATTTGAAAGAGAAAAATATGTACATATACATATATATTATATTATTAATTTTTTGGATATTTTGCTTACAAAATATTTCAAAATTGGTTAATATCGTCGCATGGAGGAATATATAGACATGATGCCACTGAAGAATAAAGAATAGTATAATTGTCTTTGTTTGTAGCTAAAAGACTAAAACAGATGTGTAATATAAAAATATTTGTATGTACCTTAATATCTTTGGACTTTAAATATTCTGGAATGTTCAAACCAGTGACTTGAACAGAAAAACATAATTTTGTTTAAAAAGAGATAGACAACTGCACTTATTTGTCCTTATCTAAAAAGGCAAAAAAACAAGATTTAATATTTTAAATATGGCAAGAAGAGTCTGAAAAAACAAAAGAAAAATGGTATGAAGATATACTAATGTATCTTATTACCTTTAGAGATAAAATACTTTGGAATACTCAAAGGAGTGATTTACATAAAAGAAACATGATATTTAAAGAGAGAAAAAATAAGCAATATGACTGAGCTCGTTCTTATCGAAAAACGTAAAAAAGTAAAATTTAGAATCGTAAATACGACAAAAAAAAAAATTAAAAATTTGTAAAAAATTTTAGATCATATAAATATAGTATAAAAATAAAAATATAAAAATATTGTGGTGTACCTGAATATCTTTAGAGTGTAAGAAAGTGATTTATATAGTAGGAACGTATAATTTTGTTAAAAAGAAAGTGTAACTTCATTTCCTCCATGCATCGTTACTATTTTAAAAGATGAATTCTTACGAAAATCAGCATCATGGAATTTTTACTTCGTCATTTATTAATATAGTTAATCGTATAAAAGATGTAGGCCATGCTAATTACACGACATGCTAATTACACGCCTGCATAATATTAAAGCATTTTTATTATAATTTATATAAAATATTATATTATAATATCATATTATAATTTTATTATAATTCATTTTTAATATAATTACGGTGTTCGAATGGCACTCGACAACCAGAATCGGCTACCGTTAAACGACGACGAAACGACATCGGATAACGATAATCGGTTAGCAAAGTGCCGATAAATGGTAAAAAAAACTTGAAAAATAAGATACAAAAGGTATTACTCACCGATGAAACTTTTATTCCAAGCCTTCACGCTCTCCCCATCGGAATCTAGAATTTCCACTTGCTCCCTTACTTTCGTTTTAATAAATAGAGGTATACAAAGCACAGGACAGAAAATATAGGCGATCGAAATCGCAAAAATAGTTCGTCTGTAACTGCACCACGCTCTGTTTTGTTGCGGCCTTGCCACAGCCACGTATCTCCACACGGCCAGTATCAAAGTTAAACAAATCGAAATAGTATGACAAACCTGTGGATATTTCAATTGGAGTTCCGTAAATTTCACTTCATTGTTGCTCCCTATATCGTTAACCGATAATTTTCAAACGTAATTGGTATGCTTGTTTTTCTCGTTTCTCTTCTACCTTGATAAAATATCCTAATAAATTATGTCGATCGTAAAAAAAAAACGAAAGAAAAAAAAAAACAAAGAAAGAAAAACGACGGAAAAACAATACCGAGCAAACTTCTGTGTTTCCATGTATTTTCGTCTGATCTCAATACCATTGAAACGCTGTAGAATTTTGCCAGCAGTTAACATACAGTTCCCACTGTTTTTGTTGGGAAATATCGACCGAGTATTTTGAGTCAGCGTTCAAAGAAATTGGAATTCGTACATACAGAAGCGAAGTTGGATGCACTTCTTACTGAACTGCAATTCGGTCTTTAATTAAAGAAGAAGATAGACCCGATATATTGGATTGATTGGTTTCCAAACATGTAGGTCGATCCTCATCAAACAAAGCAAGGAAATGACGGTCCAGGAAGAATGCATCGAACCGTAAATACCAAACGATTTTATAGGTCAGTAGCACGACAACAATTTTTATCATTTAACACGCGCCCCATAAGACGAATTTTAATTCCACGAGATTAAATTATCACGGACGCTCGAGTCGATCGACGAAAGTGAGGTTAGAATTACATATTACGATTTTTCTTTCCAACTTTCTAACTCCCTATACTAGAACCGATAACAAAGGTAGTTTAAACGTTTGAAACTTTTTCCTACACATCTTGTTTCATAAAAAAATTTCCGAAACAAAAGCAATTTCTTAACGAAACGTGCGAGAATAAAAATCATCGGTTACCTGAGCGAAGTTCGAATGGAAGAGCACGAAAACTGTCCAACCGTAGGTGAGCGTGTCCCTCCTCGATCGTTGATAGAGATATAGGTGAAACGCGGTGGGAATGTAATCGATCATTACAAGTAAATCTGCCACGGCCAATCCCGTTAAGATTATATTGGTCGGTGATCGCATTTCTCGTCGAGTCAGGACGAGAATGTTCAAAACATTCGCGATCGAACCGAAAATACAAACGAAAAGTGAAATCCAGCCATGCAATTTCGAGTAATACGAGGCAAACGACGATAAATCGCAAACGTAATAGCTCGATGAGGCGTTCAAATCCATGATTGTTTCGGATGCACTCGCTCTTGCTTTACCTCATTCCCTTCTATCAATATCGAACTCACCGTTCTTTGTCTATCGAGCTGTTTAAGAGCGATTATTCCGATGAAGCGTGTTCGATAATCTTCGACAATCTTCGTCAATCTTCGATACCCGAATAGTTTCGTGCAAGGATATAATTCTTCAGGGCAGCTCGGTTGTCCGAGATAAAAAGGTTCTTTAAATATTTCGATCGATTCTAGAATTTTTCTTCTATAGATACGTACCGTGTATCGTTATCGTTGTTAATCGAAAAAATGAAAAAAGAAAATGTTTTATTAATCCTGTTCGATTATTAAAACGGGAATCTTTTCCCTTTTTGAAATTTTTCGGTATTTTTGCGATATTGTTAAATATCGTTTGTCTCGTTTGTTATTCTTCGAGCCGACGATTCACGAAACAGCATAACGAGTTATATACTAAAAATCTTTTGCACTCTCACGTTTGATCTTCAAAGACAAGTTCGTCGGACTTCGTCTGCGTGTTGAAAAGTATTTCTTTAAAGCTTGTTACTCTATCCTTTACAGTCTCAGGAAATGGTCCTTTATCCTTAACGATGTGCGTCGGATCAGAAGTCGAGATCTCTTGAGTTCGTTGATTACATCACGAACGTTTCCTTTCAATTTTCCCATATAAATCGAACAACATTATCTGGCTACGTACTACTCCCGATCGAGCCAAAGAAAGGTAAGGTTTCATTTACATTTCCATTTCTCCTTTCCAAGCGCGATTCGCGATCCCGATCGTGTGTTTGAAAAAGATACACCGTAAAAATTCTTTCCCTTCGTACTATCGTTCTAGCGCGCACGTTTGACTCGTCAAAGCCGAGAGGTTAGGCGGCTCTGCCAGTTGCATTATATTTTTAATATCGAAACGAAATCGGAAGCACGGAGAACCGAAACACTACGATTAACTTAAATTCATTCGTATTACTTCTTTTACCCCACGGCTATTTCAACGATTAGAAGCGTTTTTAAACTTAGAGATCACACTACGAGATGCAACAAGCGAAGAATCGAAGAAACAAACAACGTCATGGCAAAGAAACGTCGGTGCGGTGCGACGTCGGCCAAGCCAATGTCGTCGCGATACTATCCTTGTTGCAGCCGCCCCGAAATTCTAACGCAGACGCAGATCATTTTCCACTCTCTTTCTCTATCTATCTCATCCCACTCTCTCCGTCCTCCTCTTTTTCTCTTCCTCTCCTTCTTACCCTTACGCTTCTATTTATCGCTTGATTCGTCTGCTTAATAATTCCTCCTTTTACTCCTGCATCTACCCTCGTATCTTAATACACGTTCGTTTACTCTACCGCTCAGTAGTATCCAGACGCCTGCTTGTTTTTAATTCTCCATTTAATTACGAAATTCCAGGCAAACAGATTCCGGATAAATTTCATACTTTAGTAGCCACGTAGAATGAAATATGCGGGATAAAATTAATTTTTGACAATCGATATTTAGCGATAAAATTACCGCTGACTGTCAAACCTTGTGGTATATTTTTCTTCGGTTTCATACTAATAAGAAAACCGACAATAATTCAACGGCGGTGTTTAAAAGCGAGGAGTAGGTTGATAAATCATCTGTTTAATTATAATACACTGAGAGTAAGATAATATCAGTGTCAATATTAATATTGATAGATAATTTTAACCGATAGTTTAGGTTATGTTAAGAGTGTCCCAAAATTCACGCAAGATTTGAATTTTGCGCCATTTGTACGGTGATGTGTTGTCAACGAAAAAAAAGATAGCGTGACAGTTGACAGTTCAGGGTTATTGAAAATGGCGCTCTACATGAAAGAACAACGCGTCTTCATTGTTGAGCAATATTTACAATTTTTACTTAAAAACCTGCATTTTTTATCAAAATTATTTCTTACGTGAATTTTGAAACATCCGATATATACAGTTCTTGAAAAAGATATTGATGCACTGTATTACAAGAGAGTTGACCTAACCGGAAGATTCTGATTCGAAACTTTAATTTGGATGAAATTTTACCAGCAATATGTCGAGCAATATTTTAAAAATAATGAAGATTTCTTTGTTTTCTATCAAATTTACTTCTTACGTCAATTTTGGGACGCCCTTTAGAAAGCTAATAAGTATGCCACAAAGTGATAAACTCTACGATTTTCAGTGTTCCTCGAGTAATTTTAAAGCAGTCTATCTCGACAAAAAAAAAATAGTCCAATTATAAATGAAATTTGATTTTGAGGTTAAGTGAGCAAGACAGTTTGCTCAAAAATTAGTTATATTTTAAAGAAACGCCAGAAAAAAGTAAACACTTGATTAATATAAGCTACTGTGACTTATTTAGCTTTGCGATGTTATCATTCTGAAGTAATATTTTTCAAAATGGCCTCTCGGTGTACAGAATTCCAGTGAAATGAGATTAGTGACAGAAAAAGATCAAAATGGACTTGAAACTATAACATATTCTCTACACATTGACGTTGGAACATCTCAATTTTTTTGTGAAAATTAACAAAATGGCAACTATTTATAGTCGAACTGTCTAATGTTTACGAAAAAAATTTACGTTTTTTGTTAATAACTTTTGAAAATGTTAACAATTTAAGAAAAATCGAACGTCAATGCCTGACAAATATTATAATAATTGGTAGATTAGATCTCGAGATATCGTGCACACCGTTTTCAGAAACATAGTTCGGAGAAAAACTCGTTTAAAGTTTCGAAACGTAATTTTTCACATGTGTCCTTAATTTCTCACTAATCAGTCATTTCTGCCTCGTGCCGACTTTAGTTTATTGCACGGTTGATAGACTGGATTTACGGATGATTCGAGTTCTCCTTAGACTTTTTAAACGATCGTCTATTAGATGTTTTAATCCTATCTTCGTCGAGCGTATAGCATAGTCCAGCAGCTATTGCTTCTATGCTAATATTCATAGTGTTTGTAATTAATAAGACACTAGAAAAGCCTTCAATGAAAATATTAGCAGCAATATAAACAGCAATCTTCACGCCTCTAATAGCGCTAAATGAACCTTTTGGAGCTAAACGCCAAATAGTGTTATCAAAAAACGAGTTTTACTCCAAATTATATTTCTGAAAACGGTGTGCATGATATCTCGAGATCTAATCTACCAATTATTATCAAATTTTTCATAAATCTTTATTATAATATTTATCGGGCATTGACGTTCGGTTTTTCTCAAAATGTTAACATTTTCAAAAATTATTAACAAAAAACGTGAATTTTTTCGTAAAAATTCGATAGATCGACTATAAATAGCTGCCATTTGATTTTGAATGTCGGGTCTCAATTTTTCTGAAATTACGACCTTCAGAATCTTCTCCATACTGATAGAGTGTCACGTAAAGGTATTATACATGTTCCAATGCGTTGCGACACGCAAAATCGCGAATCGATTTTGCACCCCGCACATCCAAACATAATTTGTCTCAAAGACTGGAACCTTTCGCGTATTATTTTTAAAACTTCAAATTACTATCAAAGACAAAAAAAGAATCGATTGTTTCAAAATTTTAAACTGTCCTGCTTCATTAATATTATTCGAAGCAGTTGATAAAGACATTGGAAAAAGTTACCATCTTTAGAATATCTTGACCTAACCTCAACCTCAGATGGTGAGCAGCTTGTACTACCATCTTCAAATTCAGCGCGTAAAAATATTTAAGAAGAAGTCTGTCCATTTTCAAAACATAAAATTTCAATGACCATTTTGTCGTGACAATTTTTCACGTAAATGAGGAAAATTTGTAAGAACAGCTGTGAGTTAATCTACTTTTGAAGTAATACCTCTATTTATATTCAGTGTATTGCGAAGAAATTCACTTGCGACATCGAATATCGGGAAATAACAAAAGTTAATTTTACGCTAAGAAGATTGATCGTAGGATCCATGTTCACAGGACACTTTTTGCTTCTTTTTTATGTTTACGAGTACTGTAAACGTTTAAAATCGTAAACTCTATTTCCAAACGTCCTGTATAAAATCAGCGAAAGATATAAAGATATTGGGAAAAAATTACTATCCTTGGAACATTTTCGTAGAAATAGCAAACATCGATATTATTTATTTATTTATTTCATAAACTTAAGGTGGTAAGTAGTTTTTGCTGACAGATTCGGATTCAGTGCATGAAAACGTGTGAGAAGCCTTTCATTTTCGCGAAATAAAATCTCGTTGATCTGATTTTTGATACCTGTGCTATCATTTTCTCGCGATCATTTTTCACGTAAACGAGGCAAATTTGTAAGAAGAAACGTGAACTGTAGTTAATATTCCTCTGTATTATTGAAAACCGGACATATTATACCAATACACGCGGTGGTACAATACCAATACACGTGTGGTACACGCGTACATAGCATTAATTTGAAGAAACACCGAAATGTACAGAGTGTGTTATTATTTTGTCGCGTACTGTAAATGACAGTTTGCATTAATTTATAAAATAAGGCAAAATTCACGCATCATCAAATCCCAAGCGTATATTCATTTCCTTTTCCTATCGCGTTCTCTATTGACGGATCCATCAATTACGTGATCACCTTTTATACTGCAGCATGGAAAACAGTCTATTCAGGGCGAGGATGATTTCACATTTTCCGTAACGAGCTACAATCGAACGGACGATCCATAAATCCCGAATTTTATTAGATTTCAATGAATTCTACTGATCCTTCTGAAGTTTAAACGTTCCGTATACTGTACTCGGGCTGTCGATATCGCTTGTGTCCGTTTCTTTACCTGATCGCAGAAGTTCTCAGTGTGCACATACAGTCTATCGTGAAAGTATTGGGAAACGTTGAATTCCAAATATTTAATAAACGAAACGCGCTCGATATATCCCAAGTCTTGGCAGAGAAAATTATGAAAAAATTCGACGAAAAATTCACGAATGATTAATCCTTTGCACTCGGCGATATTTTCGTTACAGAAACATA